TTGTCTTCTCATGAATCTGCTTAACATACTCAGCTTTTCTTTTTCCATCAAGGTTAGTTTGATCAGATAATGGCAAAGGAATCAAATCCAATGGAGTCAATGGATTAAAGCCATAAACTATTTCAAAAGGTGAAAACTGAGTAGCAGAGTGAACTAATCAATTATAAGTAAATTCAACATGAGGCAAACATTCTTCCCACGTTTTAAGATTCTTTTTGACAAGTGAACGCAACAAAGAAGACAATGTTCGATTAACAACTTCAGTTTGTCCATCGGTCTGAGGGTGGCATGTTGTAGAAAATAACAACTTAGTTCCTAGTTTAGACCACAATGTTTTCCAAAAGTAACTCAAGAATTTCACATCACGGTCTGAAACTATAGTCCTAGGCATGCCATGAAGACGAACAACTTCTCGAAAGAACAACGAAGCAACATTCGAAGCATCATCGGTTGTATGGCAAGGAATGAAATGGACCATTTTTGAAAACCTATCAACCACCACAAAAATTGAATCTTTTCCAGTCCTAGTCCTAGGCAATCCAAGCACAAAGTCCATAGATATATCAGTCCAAGGCACACTAGGAATTGGCAAAGGAGAATACATACCATGTGGCTGAAGTTTGGACTTAGCTTTCTTGCATGTCACGCATCGTCCACAGATTCTCTCGACATCCCTCTTTAAATGCGGCCAGTAAAAATGTTCCTGCAAAATGGACAAGGTCTTGGCCACTCCAAAATGCCCCATTAGTCCGCCACTATGTGCTTCTCTAACCAGTAGATCTCGCAACGAACAATTAGGAACACAAAGTTTATTTTCTCGGAACAGAAATCCTTCATGCCGAAAATACTTTCCATAAACAGTTTTTGCACAAGATTGAAACACTTCATGGAAATCATGATCAGATTCGTACAATTCCTTAATGTATTCAAAACCTAGCAACTTAGCATCAAGAGAAGACAATAAACAATACCGTCTAGATAATGCATCAGCCACTATATTTTCTTTTCCTTGCTTGTAACGAATTACATAAGGAAATGTTTCAAGGAATTCAATCCATTTGGCATGTCGGCGGTTTAGCTTATGCTGACCTTTTAAGTGTTTCAAGGACTCATGATCCGTATGAATCACGAATTCTTTCGGCCAAAGATAGTGCTGCCACGTTTGCATCGCCCTCACTAATGCATACAATTCTTTGTCATACGTTGGATAGTTCAACGAAGCTCCATTCAACTTTTCACTAAAGTACGCAATTGGCCTTCCTTCTTGCATCAACACAGCTCCAATACCTACGTCAGAAGCATCATATTCAATCTCAAAAACTTTGGAAAAATCTGGAAGAGATAAAAGAGGAGAGTCAGTAAGCTTCCCTTTCAAGAGTTGAAATGCTGTTTCTTGAGCTTCGTTCCATTGGAATCCAACATTTTTCTTGATGATTTCCGTCAATGGTGCAGCAATGGTGCTGAAATCTTTCACAAAGCGCCGATAGAAGCTTGCAAGTCCATGGAAACTCCTTACATCACTCACCGTCTTCGGGCTTGGCCAATTCTTGATTGCTGCAACTTTTTCTTCATCCATTTGAATTCCCTGCTCACTAACAACAAATCCTAGAAAAACTAGCTTGTTAGTACAAAACGTGCATTTCTTGAGATTCGCGAATAATTTTTCCTTCCTTAAAACTTCTAGGACAAATTTGAGATGTTCAACATGCTCCTCGATATTCTTGCTATAAACCAAGATATCATCAAAGTAAACAACCACAAATCTACCAATGAATTGCCTTAGAACATGGTTCATCAATCTCATGAATGTGCTGGGTGCATTAGTCAAGCCAAATGGCATAACTAACCATTCATACAAGCCATGTTTCGTTTTGAATGATGTTTTCCATTCATCACCATCTTTCATTCGTATTTGATGATAACCACTTTTAAGATCTATCTTAGAAAAGACACGTGATCCATGCAATTCATCCAACATATCATCCAATCGAGGTATGGGATGGCGATACTTTACCGTAATATTGTTGATTGCACGACAATCAACACACATACGCCACGTACCATCTTTCTTTGGAACTAGGATGACTGGAACAGCACAAGGTGACATACTTTCACGAACATAACCTTTCTCCATCAGTTCTGTGACTTGTCTTTGGAGCTCTTTTGTTTCCTCAGGATTTGTTCGGTATGCAGCCTTGTTTGGAAGGCTAGCTCCAGGAACAAGGTCGATTTGATGTTCAATCCCTCGAATAGGTGGTAATCCATGTGGAAGCTCTTCAGGAAAAACATCATCATACACCTGCAAGAGATCAAAAACCACACTAGGCAAAGACGATGTGAGTTCGTTAGTATTCAAAAGAGCCTCTTTGTACATAAGTACAATCATTGGCTGTCGAGAAAGTAATGCTTTCTTGATCTCACTCGCTCTCATAAAGAAATTGGTATTTTTCCTCTCGGGTGTACTCTCACAAGTCTTTTTCTGGGTTTTTCTCAAGGCCTCACTAGATTTTGAGTGATCTACCTCATGGTCACACATGTTGATTGGTTTCTTCTCATTCTTCATCATTTTGAGTTGATCTTCAAAAACCTCCTTCGGTGTCAAAGGTACAAGTCGAATGGGTTTACCTTTGAACTCAAATGAATACTTATTGCTGTAGCCATCGTGTTGAGCTTTAGTATCAAATTGCCATGGTCTACCAAGCAACAAATGCCCCGCTTGCATAGGGACTACATCACAAAGCGCCTCGTCTTTGTATTTGCCAATACAAAATGGCACACTCACTTGTCTATGCACCTTCGTTTCTCCGCTGTCATTGAGCCATTGTAAACGGTACGGTTTCGGGTGTCTTGTTGTTTTCAACCCCAACTTCTCTACCAACAACGTACTTGCTACGTTTGTACAGCTCCCGCCATCAATGATGATACTACACACTTTATCTTTGACAACCCCCCTTGTGTAGAAAATGTTTTCTCGCTGCACAATCTCTTCTTCTTTTGCCTGCAAGTTTAGTGCTCTTCTAGCACTAATAATTCTCCTTTTGCAGCAAATTGATCACTAACCTCATTCGTAGATGCATCAGAATCTGATTTACCCTCTTCCTCAGACTCCGTCTCAACCTCTCCGTCATCACGTAGTGTCATTGCTCGCCTATTTGGACATTCATTCGCAAAGTGTCCTCTGCCCAAACACTTGAAACACCGAATATCTCTGTTACGTGATTGAGAAGTTTCAGAGATACCTTGTTTTCTTGGCTGAGACGTTTCAGGTTTGCTTTCGGGTTTTGCTGCACCTTTTGAGCCAAAAGTTGGCTTATCTTCTTTTGTGAATTGTGGTCGGGGATTAGATGAGTTGGAACCAAACCTTTGATGTGTTTTTCCTCTTCTTTTGATTTGGTTCTCGAACTTGATCGCAAAATGTAGCAAATCCTCCATCTCAACGTAGTGTTGAATCTCTACACGATCCTGGATCTCTTGGTTCAACCCACCAATAAATCTCTCCATTGTCGCTTCACGATCTTCTTCAACGTTGGCCCGAATCATCAACATTTCCATCTCTTTGTAATATTCCTCAACACTTCTATTTCCTTGCACCAACCTTCGTAACTTTTGATGCACTTCTCGATGGTAATGATTGGGTACAAACCGCCTCTTCATGACTATTTTCATGTCACCCCATGTGGTAATGGGATTCTCACCATATCTTCGCCGTGAAAGAACCAATTGATCCCACCATATTAATGCATAGTCACTGAACTTTGATGCTGCGAGTTTAACTTTCTTCAACTCGGAATAATGATGGCAATCAAATACCATCTCAGTCTTTCTCTCCCATTCCAGATATGTTTCCGCATCGTTCCGGCCGTGAATTTCCATCTTGATGCTACTGAGATCATCATCAAGACGTTCTCGTGGACGAGGTTCACGCCTTTGCCTCCTCGGATTCTCATGTACTTCTTCTACTTCCGACAATTGTTCTCCATCGTCACTAGGATCACTATGATGTGACCTAGCTCTTCTGGGAACACCTTGTTGTTGTCGGTGTCTTGCAGCATTCTCCATCCGATCCACTCTTTGATGCAATGGTTCTATCTCAGCCCTCAACATCCTTCGTAGCTCACCCATTAGCGCTTGCATTTGAAGTGGGTTTGCTCCTTCGGGTTGCTGCTCATTTTGTATGTCTTCCATGTTGAAACTCTGCAAAAAATGTTAAGAAACAAAAAAAAAAACAGAAAGAGACAAGGAAAAAGAAGATGGCAGAAATCTCACCACACTCAGAAAGTGTTTCACTCAATTTTCTTCACTCCACCTCACTTGTTTTCTCTTCCAAAGTCCTTGTTCAAACTATTAGCAAACTAAATCAAACTCAAAACGATAGCAATTCACCGAAAACTTATCAAACCAGTCTATCCAGGAGCAAAAGAATTTCGACTCAAAAGCGGACTATGACTATGACTCAAAGTACTCAATTTGAGTTTCCGATGATGAATGCAAATGGAAACACGAAAATAAAGTTACAACCCCGACTCAGAAACTTGATCAAAAGACTCTTTTTTTTTTAGAGATTTTCTTTGTGATATTCTCAAACAACCAACCGTTTTTTTTTATATATTTTTTTTTACTTTTTCTTTTCTTTTCTTTTTTTTTTCTTTTCTTTTCTCTTTTTTTTGACTTCTTTCTTTTTGTTGGTTTTTCAGCAATGAACACAATGAAAACGTTAATTTTTTTTTTATTATAAAAGATATCAAAGTAGAACGTAAAAAGAAAATAGGGAACCGGCACACGAGAGATGAGCATCGACTTCCGAGAGACATGATTATAAATGAGTTTAGTTCACCTATTTATAGGAGAACCAAAACAACACCAAAAGACATAAAAGTGTAGAATTAATACTAGTCTTCCTAAAACTTTGAACTTATTGGAAAACAAAGTCATAATAGTGTTGGACTTTGACTAGAGTAGATTGTAAGCAACATTGAAGACTCAAAATGCAGATTTTTTTGTCATTTTCGTCATGGACTTGGGCTGCAACTTTTGGGCCTTCATTTTGGGCTTTCTTCACTTGATATCATGTTGAAAATGGGCTAAACTTGTGTATGATTTGGGCCAATGTTATTTTTCATGTGTTCATGGCCCAAACATTCAAGAAAGAGCCCATTTAGAGCAGCTTGTAGCTTCTTTGTCTTTGATCTCGTCATGGGTCCATCCGGAAAACTGATGTGATCCACGTTGCTCCCATTTTGTTCCGTCGTGCTTCCAATGTCCTCATCACTAAATGTCTTTGGACGCACTCTAAACGTGTTTTAATGCACTCTAAACATGTTAGAATGCACTCTAAACACGTTTCGACGCACTCTAAATATGTTTCGACACACTCTAAAAATGTTTTAATGCGCTCTAAACATGTTTGGATGCACTCTTATTATGTTTCGACGCACACTAAACATGTTCGGACGAACTCTAAACATCTTTTGTTGCACTCTAAACATGTTTCGACATACTCTAAACATGTTTTGACGCACTTTAAAAATGTTTCGATGCACTCTAAATATGTTTCGACGAGCTCTAAACATCTTTTGTTGCACTCTAAACATGTTTCGACGCGCTCTAAACATGTTCGGACGAACTCTAAACATCTTTTGTTGCACTCTAAACATGTTTCGACGCATTCTAAACATGTTTGGATACACTCTAAATATGTTTCGACAAACCCTAAACATCTTTTATCACACTCTAAACATGTTTCGATGCACTCTAAAACATGTTTCGACACACTCTAAACATGTTTCGATACACTGTAAACATGTTAGGATGCACTCTAAACGTGTTTGGACAAACTCTAAACGTGTTTGGACGTACTCTAAACGTGTTTCGATGTTCTCTTAGTATATTTCGACGTACTCTAAACATGTTTGGATGCACTCTAAGTATGTTCGGACGAACTCTAAACATCTTTTGTTGCACTCTAAACTTGTTTCGACATACTTTAAACATGTTTTGACGCACTTTAAAAATGTTTCGATGCACTCTAAATATGTTTCGACGAGCTCTAAACATCTGTTGTTGCACTCTAAACATATTTTGATGCACTCTAAACATGTTTCGACAAACTCTAAACACCTTTTGTTTGCACTCTAAACATGTTTCAACGCACTCTAAACATGTTAGGATGCACTCTAAACGTGTTTCGACGCACTCTAAATGTATTTGGACGCACTCTAAACATGTTTGGATGCACTCTAAGTATGTTTTGACGCACTCTAAACATGCTTGAACGCACTCTAAATGTGTTTGGACACACTCTAAACGTGTTTTAGGACACGCAAAACATGTTTACACAAACTTTAAATGTGTTTCAATGCACTCTAAACATGTTTCGACGCACTCTAAAAATGTTTTAATGCACTCTAAACATATTTGGATGCACTCTAAACATGTTTAGAGGAACTCTAAACATGATTCGACGCACTCTAAACTTGTTTTGACGCACTCTAAACATGTTAGGATGCACGCTAAACGTGTTTAGATGAACTCTAAACATGTTTCGACGCACTCTAAATATGTTTGGACGCACTCTAAAAATGTTTTAATGCACTCTAAACATGTTTGGATGCACTCTTATTATGTTTCGACGCACTCTAAAAATGTTTCGACGAACTCTAAATATCTTTTGTTGCACTCTAAACATGTTTCGACACACTCTAAACATGTTTGGCGCACTCTAAAAATGTTTCGATGCACTCTAAACATATTTGGATGCACTGCAAAAGTGTTTGGACATACTCTAAACATGTTTGGACGCACTCTAAACGTGTTTGGATACACTCTAAGTATGTTTTGATGAACTCTAAATATGTTTCGACAAACCCTAAACATCTTTTATCACACTCTAAACATGTTTCGAT